CTTATCGTATCTCATCCTCTGCGAGGATCGTATCCTCTATTCTCGACTCTCCTGGCCGCAAAGCGTGGCCTCTGCGAGGATACTATCCTCTTTGCTCAATCCCTCTGTCGTATCTTTTTAATCATTCTTCACCTTCTTTATTAGAGCTTGGTTTTGTAGCCCTGAGGGTATGCTGAAAATCTCTGAGGGGGGAAAACTCTGTCATTTTTCTTTTCTCACTTACTTCTTAAGTCTGTCGTACTTGGGTTGGTTTCCTCTTACTGTTGGAGGAAGGATTGAAGTGAGAAGTGCTTTGAAAATTTTTGTGCGGCTTTTCTTTGCTTTAGGGAGGTACTTTCTCCCCCTCTGTGCCTTATCTTTCTTCGGTTTTCTCTCTGTCGAGCCCCTTAGCTTGGTGCAGTGAACGATACAGCATGTTGCGTGATACTACACTTATGTTTTTGAAATACTTGGTACTCAAGCATCTAGAAATGAAAATGTGAGTATGTTCTAGGCGTTAGACTTGATTACTTGCTTGTGGTGAAGCAAGTGGTGAAGCTATGGCATGTTTCTATTTATTGCAGCATATTTATATTGGAAGCAATTAGGAGGGTTGAAATGTGGATTTGAGACAATGTTAGCTCCTTTTGCAAGCATGTTAGGATATGTATCATGAAGCTTTTCATTTATTCTTATCTAGCATGAGACATTGGAAGGTTTTATTTGGTCTTTCATGCATGTGGAAGGCTCGGTTTAGCATCTCAAATTCATTTTTGGCTTAAAAATGCATGTTATGAAGATTTTCACTTTGATTTAGGAAAGGTTCTATAGTTTGCTTTAATAATTCGGTTTGGCTCCTCGAGGGGGGTTATCTTTCATGCTTGAATGTTTGAGGGAAGTCGATTCATGCTTAGAACGATTATATTGGTGGCCTAAAATTATATTGGTGGCCTAAAAATATTGGCCTAAAAATACTTTCCATGACACTGTTATAGTTTAAAATCTATTTTGGCTCCATATACTGATGTTTTGAAGGCACGTGGACTGTTCTTTCGCCTTGAATGGCTCGGTTTTTTGGTGAATGGCTCGGTTTTGTGTTTTTTGTTGGTGCTCGGTTTGCATTTTAGGAGCATGGGATGTTGATTTTTATTGAGACTTGGGTTTCGTTGAGGTGTTGAAGGTTGAAGCTCTTTTACTAGCTTTGAGAGTTTTCGTTTTGGCCCTGGTTGGTTTTCAGTTTGCTTAAAAATGGTTGGGTTTGGATTTGCTATCATATACTGCATTTGACAGCCTTTAAAGCTTTGAGTTGATCTCTTTAGGGGATCGGTTTTCACCTTGGAAGGGTTGGAGGCTGGGTTCTGGATTGAGAGCTTGTCTTGGGTATGTGAGTTTTACTTGCTAAGCTTGAGGAATTTATTTTGGCTTGATTTGGGAGTTCGGTTTGCTTGTTTTAGCTCCTACCCGAGAGGTAGCTTGGGAGCTTGATTTGGTTCGTTTTTAGTCATACCGTGAGCTTGTTGGGAGGTG